GTTTGAGGTAGAGTCAGAGACTTGCCTATTAAAAAAAAAAAACGTCGCTTGGTACAATGTAAGGCGCCGCAGGTCTAAAGACTCAGCTATGCGAAGTCGCGAAAGCTTGCCTCCAATGGGCCGCGTTAGGCTTTGAGACGAGGTTTCATGATGTTTCATGGCACTGTGCCATTTGTCCGAGGATTTCGCCTGTGAGTCTGTCCCAATTTCTAGAAACACGGCGACTTGTTCAGGAACGCGGCCTGGCTTTATTTCGGCTGGCGGTGGTGGTTGTTGGTTGTAACCTAATTGCAAACATGCAACAATTGATACCACCCTGATACCACTCAGTAATAGCTCTTGTTGACAATTTCTGGATATTTCTGCCTTTTTTTGTCGCTTTTTTTGCTAAGTAGATGTTCATTTCTGGAGATCTCGGCCGGAAACTGCCTTGGAGGTGCAGCATCGTCTTATCGGTGCTCTGGTGGAAACGATGGATAGCTTCCCGCAAAGCTACATCTACAAGCAACAAACAAATGCTGTATCTTTTGATAGGTAATATAGGAACAATATAAGGAACAATATGGAACAATATCGTCTGATTTGGACTGAGTGTTTCTCCGGAAGGTTGAGGGGCTGCGTGCACAGTGGTACTTGTTTTTCTACTTGCTGCTACTGATCAACGCTATCTTTGCACGAACGCGCTCTTCTTCGTATCCTCATTTCTGTACGGTTCTCTTGGATGCGCAAATGATGATGCTAGTACCTTGACACTCACGAATTCATTGACACTTGGCTGTACAAAGTGCAACTTCGCGCAGCTGCTTTTTTGTTGCTCGATGCCAGGCCCAATCAGTCCACAATCACAATGCGCCATCGTCGCTTCCGAACGTTGTCCTCTGACCTTAGCGGTTATATAATATATATAGGAAGAGGATCAAGACATATTCACAAAGTCTTCCAGCACGATTCACGAATCACACTTGAACAGTGTGACCAAAGACTGGATCTACGAATCTACGAACTAGAGACTAAAGGTCAAACTGGCCACGGGAATGCTTCATCACTAAGCATTGCCTAAGCATTTCTCAAACCATGACATAGTGACATAGTGCGGTCCCAGCAGCGCTGCGACTGCAGGAATTTCTGCAACATGGCCTGCAATTGCCTCGTAGGCCTCCACCACTTTGCGGAACTTCTCCGTTGCAGAGGCCTCGATCGAGTCAGTGACGCGGTCATTCGGTCATTCTGGATCCGCTGTAGACTCTGTATCAAAAGCAAAAAATGGGATCTTATAATATAGTGACTATTAACAGTGACTATATTAATGTGACTATATTAATGTGACTATATTAATGTGACTATATTAATGTGACTCTGGATCCTCTGTCACTATTATAATGTAGTGACTCTGACATAGACACCTCGAAAACTGCTGCAACAGAACCGAATGATGTCTTGGAGACGACAGAAAGTGTTGGAAATGTAGATGACATGCGCTTGCAGTCGCGTTCTTTGCATTCGAGTCTCACCATCTATTCAATATATTCATCTATTCATGCGACGTGTTCTGAGAAAGCTCAATATCGTTCAACCATGTTCAACAAACCGAACCTATTTCAAGCGTCAGCGCCACCTTGTCTTTTTCGTTTCTTTGTTTGTCCGGATGGTACTGCAAGGCCAACTTTCTGTAGGCCTTCCAGGTGCTTTCAAATCTCCATGCTTTACGCAATGAGCACATCATTTGTGCCATGAGTTCCCTTCGGTGTTCGAAGAGCTTAAATAGTTCGGCCATGTTCAGCCTGAAAAGCACTCCTCACCTAGCAGAGATTACTTCTTGCCTAATTTACGTCAAAGGAAGTCTTCCCCAAGGCTACTACATACAGTCTACTAGGGACTGCAAAGGAATCTCTGAAGTAAGCCCTATTCCACAAAGGTCGTCTGTGTCCTTTTTGCAACCAGACATGAGAAGTGAAATGCCGCATCCTACTGAATCCTACTGATGGGCCCTGAACTGGCCATATGCCATGTAGCAAACATGTCTAACAAGATGCAACAAGTGACTTAGATGTGAATCTAGAGCAACCTTGCACCGTCTTAGCATTACAGTAAATGACAAGTCCAATCATTGGAACTGTAGCCACTTTCCATATTTCATCATATGTCATCATCCAAGATCATCAAATATCATCAACGAAACCCTTACATGGCACCTTTTTCAGCTGCGTGGGATCGGCACCCGGCTCCAACTCCAGTACCTTCGGCTGCGGGGATGTGCTGCCATGGCTTTTTGAAATCTGGTTCGCTTTTAGCAAGTATTGGATTACAAGTTGGTAGACTATGGGGAAAATGAGGCTAAAATTCTTACAAACTACGGTAAGGAATGGCAAACCATGGTAAACCGGTAGCCTTGTCATCTCACGATGGCCCCTTATGGCCCTGTCTAGGCTTGAAGCCTTGACCGCAGGGCCTTCCAATCAGCAGGAGTTGGCTCTGGCTTCTGTTGGCCCTTCGTCCTGGCGGCGGATTCACGGTGTTAGTGGCAGCAACTTCGACTGGAAATTTTCGACAAAGACCTTAGGACCTTAGGGCCTTTCATATCCTTTCACATCTTTTCATAATTTTCATGGATGTTCATGGTTTGTTCATAGTTTTTTGGGGTTTCACCCGGTTTCACACGTCGTGCGTGCTTGCGTTGTGCTGTACCCCAAAATTTCGCACGCGTCACCTCGCTGGGCGAATCAGGCCATTGCTATGGATGAAATTCTTCAGCTCCTGGTCACTCCAGTTCTTCTCCTGGCGACATCCCACTGGGCACCTTGTCGGACTGTGTCGGATGCCTCCCTTCCGTATGTCTCATTGGACTTCCTGGGGAAGATTTGGTTTTCCTCAACCACAATTGAAAGATGTTGATGCCACAGGAAAGGGACCAGGAAAAGAGCCTCTGCTTGTGACCAGTTGAAGTTTGTATTTGACGGTTGCATCATTTACAACACTTGAAAACACGAAACGTCATGAAGAGTCAGCCCTTGCACTGATCTCCCGTCACAGAACCATGCCTGATCTGGATTCGGCACCTCCCCTGTGAAGGATGGATTTTTCTCCAGCAAATCTGCCATGCGACGGCTCACCTGCTCTGCTATGCTTTTCTCTTGACAGGCTACTCAGCAGCAAACTTTTAGATTCAAACACGATGACATGATTTCAGGCGCGCAACGACGCAGCAAGATACTCAACTCCTGTCAACTTCTCGGACTCATGTGGAAAAGCTCATGATTGACCAAGTACACTCGGCTACACGCCGCAGTGGCGGCCCTGGCAAGGGCCTTCACTTCCATTTCGTCTTCCTCCTGAAACCATATCCGCGTGACATCAAGCGACGCGGTTTCGTCAAGCAATGATGGGCAGGTGCCAAAAGAATAAGTTTGATCGATTTCAATATTTTTCCATTATGATGGCATGGTGAGTCTAACAGCTGCGAACTCATTCGTACTATAAATCAACGCTCGGTTTTAAGCGATCAACGCTCAACTCCGCAGATTCGCTGAAGAACTGCCATGAATCACTGCCTACATTGACGATGAGATGCCACACATAGACATCTTGCCTTGGGGCTGGGCTCGTATCAAATCGGTGAGGCCAGAGTAAGGTGCCGCGGCGCCAAACTATGCAATCATCTTTTAACCCAGTTTACAAGTAAAAGAGCTCCGCCAAAAGGAACTTGAAAATGGTTTTGCTTTCAAAACTCGTTGTGTATTAAACGGACTGTTCCAAAACCACTTCGATTGTTTCTTTCCAAAGACAAGCCCAAGTCATCAAGTCATCCCAGGTCACAAGTTCGTCCTCCTCTTCACCTTCTGCTTGGGGCGCCTAGCTGCACTGTGACATGCTGTGACTCACCCACCTACTGATTTAGGACATGTGGTTCCCTTGGGCTTTTCGTCTTTGTGCTGGATCTACCACGCCCCGTAATGCGGGTTCAAAGATAGCTTCCATGAACCCTCAGTGATGCCAGGACCACGCTGCACGTTCCGAGATTGCGGCAGTCTTTGGGCAGCGCCTCTGGCGCTGCCTTGTCACCCTGCAGCAGGCATAACCTCAGAGTTTTCGTGGCCTAGACGGATCAGTCTTCCTTCGTGAAAGGCTTCCTGCGAGTAAAAAAAGGTGGTTGATGGGCAAAGTTTGAAATATATACCGTCTACTTGGCGAACCATTCTAGTGCCAAAGGCTATATCAAACATCAAGGGCTTGGCAAGTACAGCGAACGCGAAACTGCTGTCTTACAATGTGAATTCGCATGCGCGACTTCCTGTGGCTGAGGTACTGGCCCCAGCACTTCTTCTCCATGTCGTACCAGCTACCCCAAACCTTCCGATTACAGAGGCAATGTTCAATCAAGTTCATTCAACACTCTGTCGAAATCATTTGACGCCCCTTGAAGGAGACCAAGGAAGTCTGTGAGTCCCATTTCAAGAAATGCACAATACATACATGGATTTGCATTGATCATATTGATATTACGACAATCAAATGTTGATTGTTCTTGATTCGTCTTGTCTGCCACAATTCGTCCTCCAAGTGTGTGCCAAAGTGCACATTCTCCTCATACAGAGTAGAGGTTGCCTAAGCTACAGTGCTTTATGGGTGTTCCCCAAGTTTGGAGGTACCCTAAACGCATGGGTTTCAATATGCCAATAATCCAATGTCGATCCATTTCGGATAATTTGCGGTGCCCAGTGGTATTATTGAGGAACCCCCCATATCAACCTGGCGTGCAAAGTCACTATCAGAAAAGGCTGCTCTGCTGCCATTTGCATAAGAACATGAGACCAAGACACAAGTTTTACATCTTCTCCCACGGCGGGTGCCATGGGAGCAGCCAGAAGTTGTCTGCTGTAAGATCTGCACGATGTGCGTTCAGATAGAAACTGCCACCTGCTGATGCTTTCAAACTCTTTCACCCACTCGAAAGCATGGTGACTGGGTCGAGGTCTCGGAAAGGCTTGGAAAACATCAGAGTTTCCTGCAAGTGCTCCTGTTAGTGTGAAGTTTGCTGATGCAGACATCCTGTTGTCTAATGTGTTTCTCATCATTATATCTCTCTGTGATTGGCTCAGAATAGCTTTGTGCAACACATGGTTGGTTGAAAGTGTTCTTTCCACTGAATATCAAACAATGTCAAATGTCTGATCTCTGTATGTATTTATATGTTAAATGTATAATATATATATATATATATTGTAGTGTTGTAGATACATATATGGTATGTGTATATATATAATATTTTGTGTATAGATATATATATAGTATGTGTATGTATATATATATATAGTATGTGTATGTATATATGTTGTAAAGATATATAAATATATATTGTATATATATATATTGTATATATATAATATATGTTGTATATATATATATACATTGTATATATATATATAGTGTGTATATATATATATTGTATATATATTGTATATATTGTATGTATATATATATAGTGTATATATATTGTATGTATATATATATTGTGTATATATACATATATTGTGTATATATATATATACATATATTGTATATATATATATATTGTGTATATATATATGGTCTATATGTGCATATACATATACATTGTGAGTGTGTTACAGTAATTCATTTAGGTGCATTTTGTATCACGTTTCCATGTAAAAGGTTATCTATTTCGATGTCATGTTGGGTGTTCGTGCCTTTCCGTGGAGGCAACAGTGGGTTCCACTGGGGCTTCTCCTTTCTCCATTTTGCAAAACCACGTGTCCTTTTCATCTACTCTGCGCTTGCAAGTCACAAAATGATATTCTGAACATCTCCGCTTGGATAAAGGTTGTTATATCATGATATATCTGCTTGTGGAGCACGAGTTCGAAAAACACAATCAAGTCGATCAGTGCTTGGCAAGCAATCCTGTTCTTCCATCAAAAATATCAATGTCATACGCCTTCTACCTACACAACCCGCGCTCACTTCACGTGGAGTGATGTATACCCCAGCCTGGGTGGGTGTATATAAAAATTTGTGAAACAGGGTGGGAGAGGGTGCCACCGTGCCAGATGTGCAGTTGAGCAGACTGGACAGATTTTGCACTCCTAATCCCACAGACGAGCTCGCCCGACTCGCCCTGAGCAAGGTCAAAACATGGTGGGTCTTCGGTGACTGGACATTTCAGATCGAAAACGAGTCGTCAGAATCTTCACCGTCCTCCAATTTCAACACTGCTGAGCTCAATGAGAGGGGAACGTGCATCTCAGACAGCAAATCTGCAGCCGTCTTCCCTCGGTCATTTCGGCAGTTCAGATCAGCTCCAGCCTTCACCAGGACAGACATGATTTCGAATTTTCCGGTCAAAATGCTGAACATCAATGGTGTTGCACCACGATGATGATAGGCCAAGTTGGTCAACGCTGATGGGCTGAGGTAGTGCCTGGCATGCAACACATTCAAGATAAACCACCAGGTGTTTCGGTACGGAAGCCGAAACTGCTCGTTGACATCTGCAGCAGCTTCAATCAAGCAGCAGACTGTGCCCACATCTCCAAAAAACACCAAGGAAGTGTGCAAGCAAAATCGCAATCTCACCTGACTGCAAAGGGAACCAGTTCAGTGCCTGTTTCTGTCCATCTTTTTGAAGTCTGAACAACTCGTCTTGCTTGAAGTTGTTTCACGGTCACGAAAACTGAGACAACAAAGGACTGAATCAAATCTTTGAAAACAATTGACTCGGATATTTTTTTGAGATCGCTTTCGCAGAGGCTATATAAACGAAATCACCTTTGCTGAAGGGTAGGCTACGTGCTGGCTACGCGGCACAAGAAACTCCGCGAGAAGCTACGCGAGGTTGTTTCTATTGCAGAGGTAAGCTACGCGGTGCCTACGCGTAGTATTTCCCCTACGCGAGAGGCTATGCAAGGCTACGCGGACTGAGAGGTAGGCTACGCGAAGTGTTTCCACACCAATTTCCCAAAAAAAACTGCTCAATTCAAAATGGTTGCTGCTTCTAGTCCGCGTCACAGGGAACTCAATCAGCATTTCCTTCACGGCTGCCACACTTCCGAAACCGCAGGCCAAGCGAAACGGGGTCGTATTCGGAAAAACCTTGCGGCAGGGTACCGGGTAACAATCCGATAAAATTTAACGAGAGCAACGTGGCCTCAAGCTGCTGGCTTCTCTAGCATGTTCATCTCTTGACAATTGGCAAATTTCAGGCTCATCATAACTCATAACTGTGTGTGTGTGTGACCAGTGCATCTATCAACTCTTTGGCCACGAACCTTGATGAGTGGATCTGCAAAATTTTTGGAAAGAATGCCCACAGCAGCAGCATTGTCAGATGATGCTGCCCAAGCCAATGGAGTAGCCCCTTGTGAACAACGGGCATTCACGCTGGCTCTGTGCGCCAAAAGAACCTCCAAAACATCATTGCTGTAATACGCGGCGGCCATGCAAACGACTGGCATGTTCTTGGGAAGGTTGACCTTCTTGTTATTTTTTGACAGCCTGTCATTGGGGTCTGCCTTGCTCTTCAACAATGCTTTCACCAAAAAGGCGTCACCGTTCACAACTGCATAGCAAAGCGGGGACCAGCCAGCAGAATCGCGTTCCAGCACGGTCTTGAAGCAGTTATCATGCAAGAAACGTGCCACGATGAATGCTTCTGGATCACTGGCAGGGTCAATGTCTGAAGAGAAATCAGGGATCAAACTCTCCACCCGATCCAAGCCCTCAATACCAGCGAAATGCAAGTGGTGGAGGTTCAGGAGAAAACGATACTTGTGCAAGTCCTCAGGGCTACAGAATAAGGACAACACAGGACTTGCGGGCATGGTTCATATATAAGTCTGCTGGCGTGGCAACCGGTAAGTTTTGTGTGATTTTTGTTTCGGATTGATTTCCATTTTTTCCTGTCAGTTCTGTTCCTGCTGTCCCTTTTTGTTAACCTCTCGTTTTTCCTTTTTTTTCCCATCTTATCTCCTTCTCCTCCCTTTTTCTCCTCCCCTCGTTTTCTTTCCTCTCGTTGTTAGTGTTTTTGTTTGGTTTTTTTTCCTGTCTGTTTTTGTTATGTTGTTTTTTGTTCCTTTTTCTTCTTCTTTTTCTTCTTCTTTTTTTCTTCTTCTTTTTCCTCTGAGTGTTTATTTTTCTTCTTCTCTTCCTCTTTTGTCCCTTCTTTTTTTATTTTGTTTTTTTATTATTATTATTTGTCTTCTTCTTCTTCTTTTTCTTCTTCTTCTTCTTCTTTTTCTTCTTCTTCTTCTTCTTCTTTTTCTTCTTCTTCCTCTTGCTCTTGGTCTTGGTCTTGCTCTTGCCCTTCCTCCTCCTCTACCTCTTACTCTTCCTCTTCCTCTTCCTCTGTCTCTTCCACTTCTTCTTCCTCTGCCGTTTCCTCTGCCTGTGCCTCTGCCTCTTCTGCCCCTTCCTCTTCTCTGCCTCTTCTCCTCCTCTTCTCTCTTCTCTCCTCTCCTGTTCCTTGCTCCCTTTCTCTTATTTCTTATTTGTTTTGCCCCCATCCTCCTTCTCTCTCACTTCCGCTTCTTTCATCTTCTCTCCTCTTCTCTCCTGTTTTCTCCTTTTTTCCCTTATCTTCTCTCCTCTTACGCTCCTCTTTCTCTCTTCTTCTTCTTCTTCTTCTTCTTCTTCTCCTTTTCTTTCCTGTTCCTCTTTTTGCCTCTCCTGCTGGTTTCCTCAGCCAAAATGTCTTTCCTCTTCTCTTCTATCTCTTCAATCCTCTTCCCTCATCTTGACTGTCCGCATCTACTACACCAACGCGGCCGCCGCTCAAATAACATCTTTTGTTTTGAAATCACTGTTTTGCGCTTTCTGTTTTTTTACACAAGCCGGCTTTCACCCCCATCATGTTTTGAACCAAGTAGCTTTTACTAAGCAACTTTTCTCCACCTTCATCGCGTTTTTGCACCAACTGTCACACAGTTTCACCACCCATGTTTGAAATCAGCCGGCTTTGGCATCCTACAGTTTTACACCAACCAACCTCAACACCGCACAGGCTGCCAGCTTTCACTTTCGCATCATTCAAAATTTACACAGTCGTTCCTTTACGCGAACCAGTTTGCACACAAAACAGGTTTTGCAAGAGCCACCACCAAGCAGCTCTGGAATGAACGAGTCGCTACAGCAGCGCTTTAAATCTACCAGCTTTCACACCCTGTAAAAAGCCCCGGAGCTAGCATGGCGGGGCCGAAGGCAGAAGAAACACCAAAATTCCACAGGATGCCAAAAACCGTAATGGGAGATAAGTGTATTCCGGCTGTACACTGTACTATCAAGCACTGAACTGCACGTTGAACAGGGTTCATACATGGTTATGTGGCGGTGGTCTTTTAGTCCCTAAGGCCTTCTCTCTCAACGAATCTTGCAGCTTTGCCCAAATCAATGACAGAACTACTTGCCCCACTCTCGCCCTGTCATCCTCGAAACTGAAGCTTCCCAAGCCAGGCGCTTTGCCAACACCGTGCATATTCCATCCCAAGTTGAGATGGTTGGGGGACGTCACTGTGATGATGTAGCCATCCTCCCTTGCCAAGTCTCGTACCGTTTTTTCTAGCCGACACCAGCCTCGAGAACTCCACGTGGAACAGCTCAACAAGTGTCCTTCTGCATGCGGCACTGCCGGACAAAGAATCAAGAAGAAATAGGACCTGGAAACAAATTCTGGGATGGACGCGATAGCCTGATGTCGCCGATCCGCTGCTTCTGTCGAAGTTCCCTGCGGGCAGCAGAAATAATCGTACCAGAGATACAGCGGTTGGCCTTTAAATTCGGAAGGCGTAGGGCACTTCAATCGTCCAAGCAACAATTCAATGGCGGGGGGAAGGCTGACAAGGGATGCTCCTGACAACGCGTTTTTGAGCGCCTTCTGGAGTACTCGCAGCTGTTCGCATTGTGGATCAGGATGCTTGCTGTTGAGCCATTGGTGGGACACAAACATGGCCTTGCCCATTCTCTCCTGGAACTCGCGGAGCACGCCTTGCTCCTTGGCTGGAGTTACTTTCACACAGCTGCACAAATTCTTTCTCAAACAGGCCTCTACTGAAACCAAGCTAGTGGGATTGAAGGCAAATTTGCGACCAGCAGCAGCAGGAGCAGCAGCAGCAGCAGCACCGCCAGCACCGCCAGCACCGCCAGCCCCGCCAGCACCGCCAGCACCGCCAGCACCAGCAGCACCAGCAGCACCAGCAGCACCAGCAGTACCAGCAGCACCAGCACCAACAGCACCAACACCAACAACGACAACCACAACCACAACAACAACAGCAACAACAACAAAAAAAACCAACGGCAACAGCAACACCAACAGCAACACCACCAGCAACACCAACAGCAACAGCAGCAACAGCAACACCAGGAACAACAGCAACAACAGCAGCAACAACGACAGCAACCACAAAACACGACGACGACGACGACAACAACAACAACCACAACCACAACCACAACCACAACCAGAACCAGAACCACAACCACAACCACAACCACAACCACAACCACACCCACAGCCACAACCACACCCACAGCCACAACCACAACCACAACCACAACCACAACCACAACCACAACCCACCACCACCACCACCACCACCACAACCACAACCACAACCACAACCACAACCACAACCACAACCACAACCACAACAACCACAACCACAACCACAACCACAACAACAACAACCAAAAAAAAAAACATTAACAACCACAACCACAACCACAACCGCCACCACCACCACCACCGCCGCCGCCGCCGCAGCACCAGCAGCAGCAGCGACAGCCGCAGGGACAGCGACGGCGACAGCGACAGCGACAGCGACAGCAACAGCAACAGCAACAGCAACAGCAACAACACGAATGACACGAACGACACGAACGACACGAAGGACACGAACGACACGAAGGACACGAACGACATGAAAGACACCAACGACACCAATGACACCAACGACACCAACGACACCAACGACACCGACGACAACGACACCATCGACACGAACAACACCAACGACACAAACAACACAAAGGACACAAACGACGTTCACGACGCCAACGACACCAACGACACCAGAGACACAAACGACACAAACGACGCCAACGACACCAACGACACCAGAGACACAAACGACACAAACGACACGAACGACTCACACAAACAAACAAACAAACAAACAAACAAACAAACAAAAAAACAAACCAAACCAAACCAAACCAAACCAACAAACAAACAAACAAACAAACAGACAGACAGACAGACAGACAGACAAACAAACAAACAAACAACAAGAAGACGATGGCAGCGACAATGACGATGACGACGGCATCGTGTTGTCACACAGAAGTGGCAGCTCTGCGAAGGTGTCGGAACAAGCAATACGAAATATCCAAGTTGGAATTGCCGATGTGCAACCCATTGAGGCAATACCATTCAAGCTCAAAATTCTGTCCTCCAATTGGAAGTATCACCAGCACGCATTCCCAGGGTTTGAAGTTTGAGGAATCGATGTGTACAAGGCTCAAGAACAACTTGCTCATATTTAGCCGTGTGTTTGTATTTTTTTGGGGGGGGGGGCGTCAACGAGAAATCCAACAAAAAGGAAGAGGTGCAAACGAGAATAACAAATATCTTTCACGTCTTTCTTCTGAACTTTGCCGCAACATAACAAGAGGGGCTTCACAATAAACAACCTTGAAGTAGAATGGTAAAAGCCAACACAAACTTAAGACTGCAACTTAATCGCGACAAAGATATGCGACACAGTCCTCAACACCAACTTTGAGAAAAATATCTCAAGAGCCGTGGCCACGCTTTTTCCTCACTAGCAGACGAATTTTGCAAATATCTTTTTGCGTTTTGATTGAGGCAATCGGGCTAATAACTGAAACAGACCTGTTGGTGGCCGAACCAGCCACCATCCAACAAATCTGACACACACCTTGGCTGAAACAGCCACAGTTGGAATACCAAGCCGACTTCATCTTTGGCAAAGTCATCTTTGGCCCCTCTTTCTTAATATGCAACATGGGCGGCCCACGAGATCCCCACTTGCTGCATTTCAACTTGCGGTGCTTCTGAAACAGCTTTTCAAGCCACAAAGTTCCAACTATCCGTATTTGGACTAAGCGCAGATCTCTTTCAGCTTGCTTGATTTAAAGGGTTCTTAGCACTACAGAGTGCACAGCTGGCTGATTCTGAGTCAGCGTTCTTGAGCTGAAACAGCTGCAGAAGGAAACACATTGAAATTGAAATGTGTGAGTTTTTTTTAATCTTCGTTGCACCCGTTATAAATCAATTGCCGTTTGCTGAACTGAGTCTACAGGGTGTCTGCAGCTGCCGCAACGCATGTTTATCCACTTTTCCACTTGTCATTTTTTTTGCATCACACATCCGCCTTTGAAGACATCACCCCGCCGCAGTCTATGTGGCTAAGATCCGGCCCTTTCCAGCTGATCTGACTTTGGTCGATGCCGCGGTGGCATACTTGTGGCCAAAGCAGCCACCAAAAGCCGAAGCAGCTAAGTAGCCGAAGCAGCTACAGCTACAGTAGCCGAGACAGCTGCCGCCTCTTTGGCGTAGAGATGGCGTGGCCAGTTTTCAGCCAAGACATGCTCCTAAGGAGAGGACAATTTGTCCTGCCCTTAGGAGGTTCAAGGACGACCCCGAGGCTCCTAAGGAGAGGACAACAATAGGACAAAGGCCTTTGAAAAACTCATATTTAAGAGTATTTCAGTTTCGTCCCCTTGTCGTCCTCCCCGTAGGAGGTTCAAGGACAACCCCGAAGCTCCTAAGGAGGGGGCATTCCCACCCGTTGGTTCGAGGTCCGTTGAAACTTGTTTGATGCTCCTAAGTCCTAAGGAGAGGACAATTACACCACCGTAGGCCCCAAACAGTGGGTGGTTTCAAGAAGTGATTTGGGGAACAGGGTCAAACACATGAAAAAGCAACGACAGGAATGGTGAAAATGTCTGCAACAAGTGCCGGAGACCTCTTTATATACGTAGGTTTATTTTGTTCGGCTTCGTTTGCTTTGTTGCAACGCTAGATGCCACAAAACGATGAAGGAAACATCCGATGGAGGTGCAACTATTTGGATCCAAACGCTCGAATCAAGCAGCATAGGACTGTCAAATTGAGTGTGTTGAAAACATCGAAGGATGAAAGTGAAAGATGACATCATTCTCAATCCCGGATCTCTGTGAACTTTAGAGTCTGCGCAATTCTCGGCGTGCGATAATTTTAGCTGGGAGACTTGGGAGAGACAAGCTGGGAGACAAGCTGGGAGACAAGCTGGTAGACAAGCTGGGAGACAAGCTGGGAGACAAGCTGGGAGACAAGGGAGACAAGGCCTCGGGAAGACGGACACACCATCCAACAAAGGGAACAAGAAGGAAGACAAGCTGGGAGACAATCTGGGAGACAAGCTGGAAGACAAGCTGGAAGACAAGCTGCGAGACAAGGGAGACAAGACCTTGGGAAGGTGGGCACACCATCCAACAAAGGGAAACAAGAAGGAAGACAAACTGGCACACAAGCTGGGAGACAAGCGAGACAAGGACCCGGGAAGGCAGACAAACCATCCAACAAAGGGAAACAAGAAGGGAGACAATGGGAGACAAGGGGGAAGGCGGACACACCATCCAACAAGGGGAAACAAGGAAGACAAACTGGCACACTAGCTGGGAGACAAGCGAGACAAGGCCTCGGGAAGGCGGACACACCATCCAAGAAAGGGAAACAAGAATGGAAACAAGCTGGGAGACAAGCTGGTAAGGGAGGCAAGGGAGACAAGGCCTCGGGAAGCGGACACCAAAGAGAAACAAGAAGGAACACAACCTGACAAGCTGCGAGACAAACTGGAAGACAAGGGACCAGCTCGGAGACAAGCTGCAAAACAAGCTGGGAGACAAGGGAGACAAGGCCCCGGGAAGACACACCATCCAACAAAGGGAAGGAAGAAGGGAGACAATCGGAGACAAAGGGGGTCAAGGCCTGGGAAACGCGGACACACCATCCAACAAAGGGAAACAAGAAGGGAGACAAGACCTTGGGAACGCGGAGACACCATCGAACACAGGCACACACGCGGGGAGACAATGAGAGACAATGGGAGGCAACGGGAGGCAATGGGAGGCAATGCGAGACAAGACCTCGGGAAGGGCCCGGTTCTGCGCCAAGGAACTTGCCGCCCCTTTCCGAGGATTTTTTTCCCCTTCAATGCCAAATCAGTTCCCTCGCTATTTGCAGCATGTTAAACCTCGAAGCTGCCATGTCGACAATATTTGCAACATTTTGGAACCGCTCCTACGGTAATTGCAGCATTTTGGAGCGAGAAACTGACGGTAAGTCAAGCAACGTGGAGCTAGAAACTTTTATTTTGGCCGGAATCGGAAATTTTTCGCGCTAGCAGCAATCTGGCTTTGCTTCAGCTAGAAGTGTTGTTGGGGATGCTGTGGTGTGTGCTTGGGGTTGGTTAAAGGTATCGGTATCGTGGGTTGGGTTAGTTTTTCCAGGTCGGTTAAAAGTTGGTTTATAAATGGTGTTTGTGTAGCGCTTGTTTGGCGTGAATTTAGTGTTGGTGCAATATGTTGTTTAAGGTTAGTTTGCGGTTTAGCTAGGAGTCCGCTTAGTTTTAAGGTTGGTTCAGATAGCATGGTGTTAGGGCTGCTGTAGGATTTGTTTCGGCTTGGGTGAAGGTATTTTGGAATGTTTCTTATTTTTTAAGATGTGCTCAGGGTTGGTTTAGGTTTGGTGTAAGGTGTTGTTTAGATGTGGTTTAGGGTTGTGTTCCAAGACTGCTTTGAAATTGTAGTTAAGATTGATTTGAGGTTTAGTTTGGGTGGGCTTAATGTTAGCTTAAAGTTTACTCCGGAATTATTTAATGTTGGCGCAATGCTTACTTAACATTTTTTCGGGTGTTATTTCTGGCGTGCTTAGTGTTTGGTTTAAGATGTGCTTAAGTTTTCTTTCGGTTTGGTTTAGGGTTGATT